TATTATAGAATTATTCTATATTTTTTGTATATCTGGAGACACTGGTAATGTTTCGGCGCTAAGCTACGCGCAGCAACACTGCCGTGGTTACTTTACGAACCGGCAAGTTTTAAGGGTTATTGGATCTCAATAAAGGGTTAAACCGATCAGATTCTAAATGTGGTCAATCGATTGCATCCGCTCAAAATATATAATGAATGTTTTTATTTTTATTATATACAAAAAATATTAATATAATTGGTACTATAATTTAAAGTCACTTTTGGTGCGAATTATATATTTTTTTATATATAGAATTAGAAATATAATTATTATTATTAACATTATAGCAATAAGAACATATAAACTATATAACAATAACTACAAAAATGGAACGCTTAATCATAATCATTTTATTATGCAAATATAGTCATAAATATGAAACACTTTTCTCTCAGTGGAGAAACTTATCTCTTTCTCTCTTTCTCTAACGTGATTCAAACTGTGCGCCACGAATCTCATCTGGGTTTTAAGCTAATATTTCATTCGTCGTACGGCAAATTTTTTGGCCGATTGACCTATTGAGAGAACAAGTTTTTCTGGGGGTCCAGAAAGTCTCCATCTGATGGCCAATTGGCACACCCCGGAAAAACTCGTCGCGCGACATGTGAAATATCAGACTTACCCATCACAGTCTTCATTCGTTCTGAGCGAGACAGGTAACTTTTCTTGCATAATTAATTCTATCTACAGGGATAATCTATTCTATCCTATTATCTATTCTATCTTATAAAGGGATTGTAGGATCTTTATGTACGAAAAAAGATATTTTCAGTAAAATGCTTACTGTTAATTAAGAACTAAAGGTACTTAATAAATCTCATTGGTTAATCCAACTTAGTTCCTAAATTCATCCGACATCCAATTAAAGAACGTGCAACTTCTAGGATTCACTTATAACTAATCAAAAAGCATGTTGACAAATAATACTTTTATTTATCAACAGAAAAAATTAATGGTAATTTTACTGAAAGTGTCTTTTTCCACAAGGTACAAAAATTTTAAAAGATTTCCTTAAAATAAAACGTATAATATTATAATATACACATGTATAAATATAAAAAATTCTTATTATGAAATATCTCCCAATATTTTTTCTTAAAAGGCATGACTTCTAAAATTTTTTTAGTACAATTTTTCGGCAAATATTCATGCAATCACGGTATTTCAGTGAAATATGAACGTAATAGATTAATAATTAAAACAATATGATTAAGATAATAATTTCGTTTACAACGTGCGAGCAAAATTATTTTCTCTTGTATTCATCACCTCATATTATATTATGATATCAGGCTTCATATGCCGAAATGTAAATTTGTACTCTTTTGATCGCGGCGTCAGATGTCGGATGATGGAGATGCCCACGGCGTCGGATTCAATTTGGCACGCCCGGTAAACGGGATATCTCCTGTTTGGTGTCATCGCTTCGTTAATCCCGATAAAACTATGCTCGCTATTCCGCCGCACCGCGGCGTATGTGAGCTTCATTCACAGTTTTGCAACCGGCAATTATTTTTCCCCGCCGTTATCGCCGTCGTACACGACAAGTGCACGTTCGAGAATCGGAAATCAGGCCAATTGATCGATCAAATCCGCACGCGAGATAAATAATTTCACGTTTTGCGTACACGGTGTCATGCAGACGTCGAATCTTTTTTTTAGTATGTTTTTTTTTTTTATTTTCGCACGCATCGTCCATCATGCACTTGTTTTTCTTTCTGGTTTTATAAATATCGCTATTGAATATTACATTTCCATTCACATCAGATCGGATGAATAGAGATCTTTTCAATCGACGTCAAACAAATTGCATTGTAATGCCTGTAATATCGTTTCACATTTTGTGATGCTCATCGTTTCCATTTTTTTTACATTTAATTATTTTCGCTAAGCCAAACGTAAATGTTCTATGGCAAATCATCGAAACCAATCTGAAAAATCGATTAATCAAAGAATAAATGCTTTCAATTTCTCTTTAAGAGAATCCAACATGAAAATGCGAATAGACAATTTTCTCTTCCATTTCATATTTTTTTCCATTTTGCGGCATGAGTTTTGTGCGAAATGACATTAATTCAGACATATTTATCGAAACTAAATAACCAATCTCCTAGTAATTTTTATTACACATATAATGTCATTATATATCGCGAGCTCTGTGAAGTTCTTCTTTTCAGAATAGCACTGATAAAAAAGGTGCTCATCAATATTTTTAATATAGCTTAAGACAGGCACTTATCAGTTACGCTTTAAATATATTTTAGTTTTCATGAAACTCGTCTAACTATAAACAAAGATTGTGTATTTAACTTTGTTATAAACGGTGTAACTTTATATACTGCGCAATCGATTATCCTTCAGTTTCATAATGTTAAATATATTCCATGAAACTTCTTTGAAAGCGCAATGTCAAAATTTACAAGAATAAATTATACAATTACATTAAATTAGCATAGATTAACTCTCATTTCCTGGTTTATTACGAAAAATTCGTTTCTTTACTGATTCTTTGTTTTTCTTTCCATTGAGTTTTTTTCTTCTAAAATAGTATTCGTTGAAAATATTTAAAGTCACGTGTCTTCATATACTTGATAATATGTACTTCGACGAACATAATTTCTTCTGGAAAATCATTTCGTTTTTATCGCCTTTGTATATAAAAGAGCTTCTCTTAAAGCAGCTATCGTATCACTACACTATTGTCTATTTTGCCAATTAACACTATACGTAGAATTGTTGATAAAGAACAGAAAAAAACAGAGGGAACACACATACTATCACTAAATTCTATACATAAAATGAATTATAGAAATTAATTATATACAAAGATTACTTTCTTTGTATTTATGTGCAAACTAAAATAAAGATTTTCTTATTTTATGTATCACAATTATTTTTTGTAATTTATTTTAATATTTTTCAAAAATGCTATTTTAAATTACGCAATCGATCAAATCTCTAATATCGAAACATGATCGACGTCAAATTCTAATCCACATTATATTAAAGTCCATTACAGTAATGCGATTCTAATGCTTGCATTCTTGTTCATTTTGAAATGTGATACGGTTCAACAAATAGATGAAGGCTATTCGATGATGAAATCATATCATGAAATTATGATGAAATCATAAAATTATATCTATAGTTACGATCATGAAATTATATCTATAGTTGCAATTTGATATTTACAGTCGTTACTAGAAATTCAGATAAAATTCATCTCTCGTCTCAAGTTTCTTTTTCATGCAATCAAAATTCTTGAAAAAAAAATCACAGTAATTATTATATATATAATCAATTAAAAAAAGAATTGATCCAATAACTTTATGTTAAATACATTATGTGGCAACTTTTTTTCGAAAGTTCTATGGGGACGAAAGAAGCAGAGATGACGAGAGTGATATCATTCCTGGCAGGTCGGAAGTCCGTAGATAAAGAAGAAGAATCGTTTCCTACTTCCGTCCTCCGGCCTCGGTTGATTTCTGCGTCAAATGCAATCACTGAAATCGCGTCCGCAATTCAAGATAATATGTAACTTCGTTTCACGCGATGTGCATCTGAGAAAAAACTTCGCGTAGCAACCGTAAATAAGATTGTATAAGCGTAAGACGCGATCAAATCGTTTATATCGAGATTCGTAGTTTCCTCATACGAGCAATTGTGCATGGATACGTATAATGCGTCGCCAGAATCAACGGCGCGAGAAACGAGGACATTAAACGATCGAGTCAAGCACTGTTGAGCCGAACCCATAGTAGCTTGTACTCGTATCTCGTCAAATTCGCTCCGGGAATTCGACCATATACCTTTAGTCAGTTAACCGACTCCATCGGTGACTGTCTCTGAAAAGATAATTCCAGAGAGGACGCTTGACGTTAGTGCCATAACAGATCAGGCAGTTATACTCGGCTAAAGGAAAAAATTCAAAGTATATAATGCTCAACCTAATTAACGTAAAAGTAGAAGATTAGAAAAAATTGCTCTAAAATTGCGTAAATGAGAATAAACGGCGAAACACTGTACAATTTTCTCAGAAACTGAGTCGAAGTAATTTTAATTATTTCCAGTGCAGAAACATATTTATATTGAAGTTATTTACGCTGGTTTCTTCTTTTCCTTTTCCTCAACAGAATTTAGGGAGGCCTTCAGGCTGTTTGACAAGGATGGCGATGGAACTATCACGAAAGAAGAGCTCGGCAGGGTTATGCGTTCCTTGGGACAATTTGCGAGAGCGGAGGAGTTGAGAACGATGTTGCAGGAAATCGACATTGACGGTGAGCGGCAGTTCTATTATCCATCTTAGGCTACAGTAAAGTTAGAAAGAGTTTCGATGCAATGTTTTCCCGTTTGTATTCGACACTTGGAAAGCTTATATCGTTTCTATACTTCAAAAGTGACACTCAAAAAATTAAATTTCCCAGAAAGGGCGAAACAACTATTTTTCAACTTGACAAAAAATTATTCACAGAAAATTAATCAAATAATATTGGCAAAAAAAAGATACATTCTTAATATGAAAGTCATTTTTGTCGCTTTTGTTTCGCAAGTCTTAAAAAATTATTCTTTTGAATTGATGATTTTGATGATTTTTTTATGAAGTTAAGTTCACTTTTGACGATTGATAGGATAATGTTTACTTAACTCATAGTACCTCTCTTGAAAGTCATATTTTTTTAGTTATGTACTTTTTGAAATAAGAAAATGATATTACATTTTTAAGCAAATATATTACACTAAAAAAAATTTTCTAAATCTAAATAACTTTTTTCTTGAATAGTTTCAAATAAACATTTTTTTACTGCAAGTAAATATTTATTAAATTAAACTTATATTACTTGTTAGAAGTTGTAGTAATGATCGTTGGCTTTGTCTATGTTTAATCAAAAGGAAGAAATTAAATTAATAGGTATTTATCCGTATTTGTTATTTCGAATAGATCAGTGGAAATCAAAACATTATAATTTACTAATATGCAATACAGTATTTATTTTGAATTCAGCGTTTATCATTGGATTTATCCAATTAATATAGCCTGATAGAAATTAGGCTAATATGTAACATAATTGTATTTGACATTTGAACTGTTCGATGAAGATTTAAGCGCTGCAATTTATCGAAACGAGTGGTATTGACCACCGGCATGTGCGATATCACGCCTTTTGTTTTTTCAATCCGCGCATTTTGAAAAACTCCATTTCACGTGCCACGTGCCACTGAATAGATTACGTAGGTAATATAATAACCAATGAAAAAAAAAAGGAAATACCGATTGACCAATAGTATTCACAAATGAAATAGAAAACGTAGAAACAGAAATTGAAGGAAAAATGGACAATTTTATCAATTAATATATTACTGTTTATTATGATATTATATTATATTATATCATATTATATTATGTCATGTTATATTATTATTGTAGTTGTTATATGATAATGCATGTAAATTTATGCAATGCAGCATATGACTTTATCTCGCAAATTATCTTAATTTTATTCGTAAATGCCGGCACAACGGCGGCAGCTTCTTTAACTCGGAAATAATCACCCGGGCGGGTGTTTTTATATCACAGCAAAAAATGTGAATTATTATAAAATATTATTTTAGATGGATATTGTTTAACATATTTTTGTTTTTAATAATTTTTTTTCATGATTTCACATTCTTTAAATACGCAATTCTCTCGAAAACTCTTAATTAAAAAACATTATATAGTATATATTAATTAAAATCTTTATTTATTAAAAATACTATTATAATAAGCTATTTAACGTGCTTATTTCGTTTAATATTTGTTTGGTTTCTATTTACCTTTTTAAGAGAAAATGTTGTAATTAAACCCATATGCTTTCAAATACAATATGTTGTTAATAATAGTGATTTTAATTGGGATGAAAAAATATCCGAGGTGATTGTTTGCGTAAAAAAAATTATGACTATTCCTTGTTAACAAAACAATTGCAATGTGAATCCAAGGCAATTATCCAAAGCAACAACGTTAAATCACTATTTCCGCGATGTGTGAAGTGCATCGTCGGGATTATGAAATAATCATAAAGTAAGGTACACCCCACTATCACCTACGCGACAAAGCGAGCTGTGTCAGAGGAGATTGTAGCACTTGGAAGTTTACCGTCTTCGCTATTTCGCACGGTCGTCCATGCGCAATCTCGTGCCTGTCGGTAAATCGCCTTAATTGCAGTTAATTCTCGTGAAACATTCCGACAATGCCTTGTTCTTGTCACAGCAAAGACAGCATCTATTACAAATACTCCCCAACGCTGGCTAATCTCTCTCTCTCTCTCACTTGATTTTGGAGAATATCCTTCATCTTTGCCTTGAACTCCATCTCCTTATAACGCTGTATTCAATTTCGCGACGGCCATGCTAGGATTTATGTAACGTATTCTTCGCTCCTGGTTTTCTCTTCGTATTTACGCGCAGTGTGTTTTATTGTCTAACGAAAAGGTCTGCGCGAAATCCGCATCGATACCTTTTTCAATCGAATTTGTTATGTGGCGCAAACAGTATTTCGAAACATTCCCGATAGCGTATTTATGACCAGAACACCCTTTCGGAATACCATATCTGAAATAAGAAACGAGTGAAATGTCTGGAAAGCATTAGATATCTCTTACGCGAACAAAATGATTTTGCTGAAGAATCTAAACTTTTGCTGGATACAATAAATAATTTTGAAAATAATTTTGTTAGACTACCAAAATAATTATATTAGAAAGTAAAAAGTGAGGAGTAATACTGCAAAACTTTTTATATTCTAATAATCAGTTTGAGTTTCCAATAACATTATTTTCGGATCTGTATCGAGCAAAATTTTAAATCTTTGAGCAAAATCATTCTTTCTAAGAATGATTTCAATAAATTACATTTCTTTAGCTGTCCATTGATTTTTCTGCCAAAAAATCTAAATTATATTTTATATATATAAGATCTGTGATGCGTCGAATAATCAAATTATAATTAGAATCACTATAAGTAGATTGGGCATTGTATACAGATTATGAGAAAAAATGTACTAAGTTTTAATGAATATTTGTTTAATAACATCAGCTGAATATTTATTAAATGTAAACATATATTTACTTAGTACAAAATCCATTAATTTGATTTAACTATCATTTTTTCTAATTAGTAAATATTTATTTACCATAAGTCAATGTTATATTAGTACTGCGTCGAATTATTTTAGCATCAAAAATAAAAATGAAAAAATTGCTTTCTTTAAAGATATTTTTTTAAAATATTTAAAAAGTTGCTTTATTTAAAAAATTCATATGAAAAAATTAAGAAGAGTAAAATTCCTCTTTGCACAAAAGGTATAATTCTCTTACTTCAAAACTGATGCAACTAAAAAAAAATGTGATTTTTGATATATGACCATAAATAAGTTAGGTAAAATTATCTCTATCAATTATCAAAAGTAAACTAATTTAACTTTACAATCCGTTCTTTAATCGTATTTGTGTCGTTCTTACTTCTTAAAGTTTTCAAAAGGAACATAATACTTTTTACAAGAGACACAAGAGTTTAAGTTGTTTTTGTAAAATTGTTTTTGTAAATAAAAAGGAAATTCTTTTACAGAAAACATTAGCATTAATATAGTTATAATCGAAGTTTAAAGAAGAAATTATTTTATTTTGAATTTAGTCATTTTAATTGAGATCAAGATAAGTATAACTGTTGATAATGTTTTGAATTATTCCAGGTTTGTAATTTTGTAGGATATCCAAATTATCGTAACTAAAAAAGTGATCTTTTTAAAAATTATAAAACTTAAAACAAAAATCAGACAAAAATATCATGTTTTTAAAAATATATTCTTTTTGTCAATGTTATTTGATTAGTTAATAAGTTTCTGTCAAGTAGAAAAATAGTTTTTCTTTTTTGGAAAACTGAATTCTTTTGAAAGAATGATCTGCAGATAACCCTGACTATAATCGTTATCGATTTTTGTATATTAATTATAATTATAGTATAATTATAATAATATAGTTTCAAAATACTAAAATATAATCAAAATGTCTTTTGTCATTTTTGTTTCACAACCTTTAAAAAAACTTTTTTTATTATGATAATTTTTGTATTCTACAAAATTATAACAAATTATAATTCATGTCGAAAGTGACACAACTCTAAATATTATTAACAATATATATTTATCTTGATTAATTAATTTAATAATATACAATAATGCTAATCAATACTTCTGCCGAGAAATCACTATTGATGACTTGGAAATCGGCGTATTGACGCCGAACAAATCTTTGTACCTGTTGCTAGTCTACTCCACAATGGTTGGCTATTACCAGTCATTTTCTATGTAATCAGAAGAATTACGGAATAAAGTTTGCGGTGAAAAACGATCACAGCCCTTCGAAAGAGAACTCGATAAAACGAGTTTCGGCGGAAATTCTGTGTTTTCCGGTCGTTCTGCTCCCATGACAAAAGAATTGAGAGAAAAAAAGCGAAGCGATTATTAAAATCCATGCGAGAACGTATCGGAGGTATGAATTGAAACCTTTGCACGTTTCAAAGGACAAAGTAATTACGGTCGCGGAAGTAAATTGTTTCGGGGACAGGCGTTATCCGCGAGGTGGAATTCATTCGCGCGAATGCAAGCTGTGCGGAGAGAAGTGCATTCGCGCTTTTTAACAGAGCTCCGAAAGTGATAATTTCCGAGGATTAGGTTGGCGCGAAAAGAGACTTCCGAGTTAACACTTGGCCCCAACTCCGTTAATGCGTTGAGCGATTGTGAAAAGGGAATTTAATGGTCCAACATGAGGAGAAATATTATAATAATAATAATAATAATAATAATAATAATAATAATAATAATAACTTTAGTGTATGCACTGACAATTGGATTTAAACAATGTTCAAAATTACAAAAAAAGAAACAAAAGAGAAAAATACAAAATCTTGTAACAAATAACAGAAGTACAAGTCCTGACCAGAGAAAATTTTAGTACTATAAATTTTTTATAACTATAAAAAAAAATTCAATATTGAGTAAAAATCGATGAAATTAAACATTCATGAGTGAAAAACGCCATATTCGATCAAGCAGTTCTTTGTGCTCAATAATATTTCTTGTGAATTTACAATTTGTAGTTAAAGCAAACTATGTGCTGATTTTATGTCTCTATAAGAATGATTGTTTGATCTTCAAAACAATCCTAAACCGTAACTAGAGTAGTATCACAAATTAAATTGACAAGCAATTTAATGTTATTGATGTAAACGTCTAATGTAA